TAGTCGTAGTCGTAGACGTAGTCGTAGACGTAATAATAATAATAATCGTAGTCGCAGTCGCAGTCGTAGCAGTAGGTGCAATTTGTCATCCTGGATCCTTGCTTGACGGTCCTGGGGCCCGAAAACAAACCCCCGAGGACGAAAAATCTAAAGAGAACGTCTCGAACCCAGAATCTCGACCCTCTCCCCTCTTCCTGCTGGTCATAATGCTGGGCCTCCTCGCACCCCACGGCAGCTCCAATCTGGCAATACGCAGCAGGACCAGTTCATCGTGATGCTGTCCCCGACACAGATGGAAAGGAGGGGATGTTCGCCTCTGGTGCAGACGTGCACGCCGGCTGCTCGGGCGATGTGTCTCTTATGGCGCACCCCTACGGCGCTGCAGCGCCGCGGAATGCAGGAGGATTCTTGGGCGACTCGGAAAGGTGTGGTTTGCAACGGGTGTGATTTGCAACCCGCGTCTGGTGGTGGGCGAGGAACTCTGCCGCGCCCCGACGAGGACTCGTCAACCCTCTGGCGTAACGTGCTGACCCCCAAAGCCCCAACAGCCACCATCACAAACCGCACCCCGGCGCAACCACACCCAACTGTAGCCGCCGAATTCGTCGCAGGCAGCCCAAGGAGAACGCTGCGGAGACAGAGCAGCGCGCTCTCCCGCCGCAAAAAAAACGATCAATCCGCCACCGTGGCCCCTGGCACGTTGCGGCGTGCAAGGCTGCCAAGGTCTGTCTGGTAGGTCCTTGAATTCTTAAAAGGAGTCCTCCCCCTCATACTCGCAGACTTGAAGGGGCTCTGGGACTCACAAATGAATAGACACAAATCACCGGATTCCCAATAGTTTCCCATATTTCCTAGGATGTTGTCTTCCCCCCCACTGCCCATATTTTCCAACATTTTCCTGGGAGTCGACGATTCATTGTGTGTGTTTCTTTCCCTCCCAACTTGAGGCGTGCCAGATGCCAAGGTCTGTCTGGTAGGCTTCTCATTCTGAAGAGGAGCCCTCCCTCTCAGTGCTCGCAGACTGCTGCGCACCGCCCCCTCCTTTCCGAGGCCACTTCCCCTCGTGCCCGCTCGAGGATGGATGGTGCACCTCCCGCGTGGCAGCGAGTGCCCGAATCCCCATTCCACGCGTGTCGTTGCCTGCTCGAGGAGGGTGCGCTTCCCGCGCGGCAGCTCGTGCCTGAGCCCCCCTTTCCGCGCGTGCCCGCTCGAGGAGGGTGCGCCTCCCGCACGGCAGCTGGTGCCTGCACCCTCACTCCGTGCGCGTCTTCTCCAGGAATGTGCACTTTCCGCATGGCTGCTAACTCCTAAGCCCCTCATCCCACGCGCACCCTCTCGAAGATCGTACGCTTCCCGCACGGCAGCTAATACTTGTACGCCCTTTCCACGCGTGCCCGCTCGAGGATGGTGCACTTCTCGCATGGCAGCTTCTGCCTAAATCCCCATTCCACGCGTGCCTGTTCGAGGATGGTGCATTTTCAACATGGCTATAACCTCCTAAACCCTCGTCCCACGCGCACCCGCTCGAGGATTGTGCACTTCCCACATTAGCTACGACCCCTTGTTAAAAGCTATGTATACGCGTCCCACGATTCCAAGACGGCCCGCGCAGACAACCAAGGACACCAAGATGGCCCAAGATGCCTCGAAGACGACCCAAGATGGCCCCAAGGCGGCCGAATATTGGTTCAAAGCGGCCCAAGATAATTCCAATAGGATCCCAAAGGGAAACAAGAGGACCTCCAACAGGGTCCGAACAAGCGAACATCCTTGAACTTTCCTGTTCCTCTTAAAACAATACATGAATTTCACATACTCGCCTTTTCGGGGTGCCGTCAGCTCAAGACGGCCCAAGAGGACTTCACGATGGCCCATGAGGCATTTACGACAGTCGCAAGCCGCAAGATGGCGTCCGTCTCAGAGGCACAAGACGGCCTCAGAAGGCCCTTCGACGGCCGAAGACGGCGCCAAGACGGTCCCACGACGGACCCCAGACACACACTATACGGCCAAGAAGACCCCACAACGGCTCAAGAGAAGCCAACGCCAACGTAAGAGAGCCCCAAGACGGCCCATCGTCATCGTCATCGTCGTCGTCATTATCACCGTCATCAGCAGCGTCATCCGCATCATCATCAGCATCATCATCGGCATCAGCATCAGCATCAGCATCAGCATCCGCATCATCAGCATGACCGCCGTCACATATTCTTCACCATCGTCATCATCATCACCATCACCAACATCATCATCATCATCATCATCATCATCATCATCATCATCATCACCATCATCATCGTCATCAATGTCATCAACATCATCGTCATCGCCATCATCAGCATCAGCCGTGCCATCATCAGAATCAACAACATCAGCAGCATCATCACCATCACCAACATCATGTTTGCCATCAGCATCATCATCAACAGCATGCGCATCATCATCATCAGCAGCAGCATCATCATCATAATGATCATCACCAGCATCATCACCCCTATTGTCATCAGCATCATAATAATCAGAGGCAGCACCACCATCATCATCAGCATCAACAACAACGGCAGTCACAATCATAATCAACCTAATCACCACCTTTATGAGTATCATCATCATGATCACCATGATGATGATATTCAACATGATCATGATCATGCTCATCATCATCAGCATCATCAACATCATCGCCACCATCATCATCACCATCATCGTCATCAGCATCCTCACCATAATCATCAGCATCCTCCTCATCACCATCATCATTATACGAATCAACATTATAATCATCATCATCATCGCCATCGTCGTCATCATCGTCATCATCATCATCAACATCCTCATTATCCTAATCACGGCTCTCCTAAGCCTGAAGACACGAGGCGTCACACGTAACCACCTCTCATGCCCTCTCGAACAGTCGCCACCCAGAATTCCAGCATGGCACGGTGGCGGGACTTGCCGCAAACAACTGGATAACGAAATCTGGACAGTCGAACATTCACACCCGGGATCCAAACCCGGGTCAGTCAGGCCTTGCGCAATCCTGCGAGATCCTGCACCCGAGCCCGGGTCAATGCGCAGGATCCTGCAAGACCATGCAGGATCCTGCACCCAAGCCCGGGTCAATGCGACCCTGGCCTTGTGTTGTTCCCATCGTACTTCGGGACCACATCCCAGAAACAATTTCTAGCACCCGGAAAGGTGTCGAAACAGTGTGGAAAGAGTGTCGAAACAGTGTCGGACGAGTGTCTCCGAGGGCCCTACACGTGAACACCCTCCAATTTCGGCACTTCCCTGGTGCTCGCACTTCTTTCTGGTGATCAAAGCGAACGTTGGAACATCATAAACCTGGCCCTGCTGGATCCTGCGAGAGCGGGCGCTCTGGCTGACCCCCGTCTCTTGAGCCCCGACCGTTAGGAGGCCACTACTGGGAGGTCTTCGTCGAAAAGGAGGATTCAGCCCCACTTGGGAGCTGCTGCGCCGGAAAGGGCCTCGGACCAAGCAGGATCAAGCCGGACTGAGCGGGATTAAGCGGGATTAGGCTGGATTCAGCAGGATCAAGCTGTATTAAGCCGGACTTCGGACCAGGGCGAAGACAGAACTTGATCTCCCCGGAGTTGCATCCGCACGGCCGAGCAGGCTCGCGCGCGGCCTCGGCGGGGCACGCCCGGCCTCACTCCGTGGCGGAGAGGGGGGCCGCCTCGCGGGGCCGCCTGGCGCGCGCGCGCGCCCGCGGCAGAGACGGAGAGAGAGAGCGAGAGCGTCGGGGGGAACGAAAGGGGGAGATAGCAAAGGGTACAGGGCAGTGTTCAATACATGGGATCTTTTAAATATCGGACTTTTGATGCATGATTAACTTAGGAATACATTTATGCATGGACTCATCGTTGTTTTTCATGCTAAATCCCTGCGCTTGTATACGTGATCCGCACGCGGAGCATGTATAAAAAACGGCACTGTAGGGTAGAGAATCAGCGCACGCAGCTGATTTTCCCGGCGCCTCCCGGCGCCGGGAGGCGCCCATGCATAGAGGAGTGGGCCCGCGCGGCGGGGCCGCAACCAGCTGCATGCAGCAGATGTCGGCACCCCCCCTTTCCCGATCCCACCCTTTTCGTTCGGCCCGAGAGCTCGGGGGCGGCCAAGAGGGGGGCCGTCCGAGGCGGGGGGGGGGGGGGGCGCAATTCATGGCCAGCGGCATGGGCGCGGCCCAGGGGCGGGGGGGGGCCAGGGACGCAGTGTAACAAGAGGAGGCGCCGTGGAATCTGGGGAGAGATCCCGTGGCCCACGCCACTGAGATCCCCCCCCCTAATCAGTCATCACCCCCACCCCCGGGAGGAGGAGGAGGAGGAGGAGGAGGAAGAGGAGGAAGAGGAGGAGGAGGAGGAGGAGGAGGAGCAGGAGGGAGGAGGAAGGAGGGAGGAGGAGGAGGGAGGAGGAGGAGGAGGAGGAGGTGGAGGAGGAGCAGGAGGAAGAGGAGGAGGAGGAGGAGGAGGAGGAAGAGAGAGAGAGAGAGAGAGAGAGACGGAGAGAGCCAGTCGCCCCCGCGCGGGCCGGGACCCCGCCGGGCCCGCGCGAAGCGGCCAGGCCGAGGGGGCAAACGATGCGGCAGGCTCGTGCCGCGCGGCAGGCGCTGATTTTGGGACACCGCGGGGATCGTTCGACTCTGAACGATCGGCCGCTTCCAGAGCAACAGACTGTTCAGCATCGACCGATTCTGGGTCGCTCTGACGCCGCGGGGACCCTTCAACTCTGAACGATCGGCCGCTTCCGGAGAGTCAGATCGTTCAACATCGACCGATTCTGGGTCGCTGACGGAGTTCAACAATGAACGCTGGCGGCGAGGTCGCCGCCGGTCGATACGACAAGAGCCTACGGTAGAAAGGATCGCGCTGTAAACAAATCACGTGGGCGAGCCTTCATGGACGCCTCTGTGGACCTCTGCGGCCCTGTCATGAGCACGACTTCGACCAAATCTCGACCACCCCAACCACCCCTTTTCCTCCTTTCGTCCACATGTCGTCCAAATGTCCACCTAATCCGACAGAATCCGGACGAAACGCCCCAATCCGCAAGGAATTTAGGACCCTTTGAGGCTCCCACGAAGGATCACACAACAGCAGGGCCGAGAGGGAAAATGATAGAAAGCATCGCGCTGCGAAACAATCACACAGGCAAAATGTTTGACATTTTGGCCTCCGAAAGCCCTCGCCAGGCCCCGGGACGGCCAACGAAGTGCTCGGGAGCAACGAAGCCGGGGCTGGGGAAGGGGGCCGAAATCTCCAGAAGCCCAGGTAGTGAAAGAATCACGGCATCCGAGTCTTGGGGGAGGGGTCTTGGCTTAGGTCGGGCCTGTCCCCCTACAGGGGGATTGTGGGCGAAAGGTAAAAAAACCAAAACATGTTTCAAAATGGTGCAAACATGGTAGAACTATCCTCCCCATACGATTTTCTGTTTTTGAATATTCCCCCTGTCGAGGGACACGCCCGACTTGATCTTGGGGGGAGGGGTCTTGGCTGGGGAGCGGCACCTCGACCTGCAATCGGCGATGCACCGCTGGCAGGTCGGCGACCGGCCCGAAGCGGCGAGGACGCACGCTCCTGGGGTGGGGTGGGGGGGGGGGCCCGGCTCCGAGCGGCGACGAGTGGGCGAGTGCGCGAGTGGGGTCCGATGCCTGGCGCTGCATCGGCGACGTCGGCGTGTAGAAATTGGGGCCCACATCGAGCCGCATGGCGCTGATGACGAACACTCCTCCCGGGAGTCGCACCCCGAGACGCGTGGTGGGGCGGGCCGGGCCTTTCGATTGACTTCACAAGGCATGATCCTGAAGCTTGGAATTTGCAGCAATTTCACGCATGGAGGGCGGGCCGATTTTAAAATGCAGCTGTCGCCGCAGCGTCGCGCACATTCGCCTTACCCATTTGCAACAGCTTCAAGGATGGAGGGCGGTTCCTTTCCCAAATGTGGCTCTCGCCTTAGCGCCGCGCGCTTTCGGGATCAAAGTTGGCAACAGCTTCGAAGATGGAGGGCGGTTCCTTTTCAAAATGTGGCCCTTGCCTTAGCACCGCGCGCGTTCGCCTTGCAAGTTTGCATTCGATGGTTTCGCATATTCATGTGGTCGAAGATTGCCTTTGTAACACGATTTATGGTGCCGTCCAAGGAACGGTGATCTGGCACAACTCAAGATTAGCAGGTCACAACAGTCGCGTTGACTCGCGGCTTTGAAGTCCTGGGGCCTGTGTTTTGTCACGGTTGCGGATTCTGACACGGCTGTCTTCTGATGGGCCTCTTCCCAAGGCCAGCAGTGAACATACATAATTGTAAAGATCTCTGAAGAGGGAGATTGGAGGGAGGGTTTATTGCAACATCGTTGATGCGTCTTGGGTTTAGACTGTCCCTCCTTCTCCTCCTCCTCCTCCTCCTCCTCCTCCTCCTCCTCCTCCTCCCCCTCTTTCCCCACCTCCTCCCCAAATCTCCGACGTCGTGGACGCCTGCAGGTCAGAACCGACGTTTCGTCTCGATCCGTTTTCTGACGCTCCCTGTGGCCAGCGAAGACCCCCAGAAGCGGAATATAAGCGAAAACCACATGTCGTGTTTTTTTGTTGCCCACAATGAGAAATAACTTTCGCGTCATAACTCGGCTACCTGGGCAACCCCGGAACGGTCTCGGCGAGGTGCAGCCACTGGAAGACATCTCGAGGCTAAAAAACCGCCGAGCGCAAACGAAAACGTCCTCCACCCCTGAGACTCAACTGGAAGCGAACAGGTCACAGTCACCTGGCCTGCCAACGGTCGAAAACTAACGCAATATGAGCACAGCACCAACACGCAAAGGGTGAGAACGTCCTCCCCCACCCCCTTTCCTCCCCCTCCCCCCTTCCCCCTCCCCCTTCTCCCTTGTGCTTCCCCTCCCCCCTCCTCCCCCTCCTCCCCCTCCTCCCCCCTTTTTCCCTCTCCCCCTCCTTCCCCTCCCCCCTCCCCTTGCCCGTCCTGCCCCTCCCCTCTCTTTGCCCCTCCTGCCCCTGCTTCCCTTCCCTCTCCTCCTCCTTCCCCCTCCTTCCCCTCCCCCCTATCTGCCTCCCCAGTCCCCCTCCTCGAGGCCCGGCCTCCCTCCCTGAGCCTCCTCGCCCCTCCCTTTGACTGACAGCTGAAGGACTCACAAGTTGAGCGTCTTCCTCCTCCTCCCCCTCCACCCCCTCCCCCTCCTCCCCCTCCTCCTCCTCCTCCTCCTACTCCTCCTCCTCCTCCTCCTCCTCCTCCTCCTCCTCCTCCTCCTCCTCCCCCTCGGCTTTTGGCGGAATGGGGGAGGGGGGGGGTCTGGATCTAGACCTCTGCGTAGTGCGACTGTTTGCGACAGTGCGTCCTCTGGGGGGAGGCTCCACCTGCCTGAAGTAGGCGCCAAAAACAGCCAAGATCTACTCCATGGGGGGGGACAGGGGGGGCGAAGGCCCGCGCCGATCGGCAAAAGAACGATTAGAAAATCGATCACCAGGAGCGGAACTAAGTGAAGAGGCCCGAAACCTCAGGGCCAGGTGTTTTTTCTCCCACCAGAAGTGCCACACAAGACCACCTGCATACATATGATCCCGAATGCAGCAGCGGGGACCTGAGTTGGGTTACGTGTGCATTGTGTTATTGTTTTTAGACGCTCTTCTACTCTCGATGATCCCTCCCAGGAGGAGGCGGGGGAGGAGGAGGAGGAGGAGGAGGAGGAGGAGGCGGAGGAGGAGGAGGCCCCCGCTGCCCTGGGGGCGCTGCCTCCCGCGCCTGTGGCGGTGGCCCACGCCGCGGTGGCGCTGGGCGTGCGGCGCGGCCTCCTCCGGGGCCTCCGCGCGGGCGGGGCGCCCTCCGCTCTCCATCGGCCCCTCTGACTACCTCCCAAAACACCCCGACTCAACCCGAAGACCCGAATTTCGCCCGAATTTCGGGTTGGGGGGGCGGTACCGCCCCGACCCCCTCCCCCACTGGAACTGGAGGGCAGCTTGAGGCCTTCGGGTTGGGCTGGGGCGGTCTGGTGGGTGGTGACCCTCCTCCCTCGACATCGTCCAGCGAGGCGAGCCGAGCTTTCCCCTCCACGTCTTCCTCCTCCTCCTCCTCCTGCTCCTCCTCCTCCTCCTCCTCCTGCTCCTCCTCCTCCTCCTCCGTTATCGTTCTCCTCCTCCTAATACTCCTCGCTCTTCCTCCGTCCTCCCCCTCCTCCTTCTCCTCCTCCTCCTCCTCGCTCTTCCCCTCCACTTCCTCCTCCTCCTCGTCTTCCTCCTCCTCCTCATCCTCCTCTGTTCTCCGTACTTCTCCTTCCCTCCACCTCATCCTCCCCCTCCTCCTCCTGCTCCTCCTCCTCCTCCTCGTTGTTCTCATCCCCCTCCTCCTCCTCCTCCTCCTCCTCCTCATCTTCCTCCTCATCATCAGCATAATATGTTTCCCCATCTCCATCCCCATCCCCATCTCGACCACCATCATCATCACAATCACCACCACCAGCAGCATCATCATCACCATCAGTATCACCATCATCATCAGCATCATCAGTATCATCATCATCATCAGCATCAACAGCATCATCAACATCAACATCAACGGCATTCTCGTCCTCATCGCCACCATCATCATCAGCATCATCATCATCCTCATCATCATCATCATCAAGAGCATCATCATCAACAGTTTCATCATCATCGTCATCGGCATCATCATGAACGTCCCCTATCACGACCATCACCATCGTCGTCATCATCATCAACAGCAGCATCACAATCACCAACACGATAACCATTATCACGACCATCATTGTCATCACCATCATCATCATCACCATCACCACCAGCATCACCATCACCGTCATCATGATCAGCATCAGCAGCAGCACACGCAGCCCCATCCTCATCATGATCGCCATCCTCATCATCATCCTCATCATCATGCTGATTATCGTCAAACTCATCAACATCATCAGCATCATCATCATCATCATCACCAGCATCATCGTCCTCATCCTCGTCATCACAATCAATACCATCATCATCAACAGCAGCACGGCCAGAATCATCAGCAGCTTACTAGTATGGGTGTAATCAGTACTACGAATATTCATTCTTATCGGTATCATCATCACCAGCATCAACGTTATGATCACAATCATGGTCATCATCATCATAATCAGCATCAGCATCAGCATCAGCATCATCCTCATCAGCATCACTATCATCATCATCAGCATCATCACCACCGCCACCACCACCAACATATCATCATCACTCTCATCAGCAGCAGCAGCATCATCATCACCAGCCTCATCGTCATCATCATCGTCATCACAATCAATACCATCATCATCAACAGCAGCACGGCCACAACCATCAGCAGCTTACTAGTATGGGTGTAATCAGTACTACGAGTATTCATTATTATCATTATCATCATCACCATCATCAGCGTAATAATCACAATCATCGTCATCATCATCATAATCAGCATCAGCATCAGCATCAGCATCATCATCCTCATCAGCATCACTATCATCATCAGCAGCTTCATCACCACCGCCACCACCACCAACATATCATCACCACTCTCATCAGCAGCAGCATCAGCATCAGCATCATCAGCATCATCATCATCACCATCCTCTCCTCCCCAACATGCTGCTCCCTCTCATGCAGCTAATCCTCCTCCTTCTCCTCCTCCTCCTCCTCTGCGGGAAAGCTCGCCCAGGATCTGTCCCGCGACCAATCCCGGGGTCGAAATTTATCCATTTTTCGAGCCGCGTCCAACTGTGGCGACGAGTACGCCCATGTTTCCCCATTCCTGTTGGCCAGAACCAGTGCTGGGACAACTCGGGCCCCGGCCGTCTCCAATACGCAACTGTTTGTTTTTTTCTGCGATTGCAGACTCAGGGCAAGGCGAGTGTGCAGCCAAGGCGTGTAAGGAGAGAGAGAGAGAGAGAGAGAGCAAGAAAGAGAGAGAGAGAGAGAGAGTCGGTATGGGCAGCACGCCCGACGAGCCGAGGGGAGACTGGCGGAACGGGGGGGGAGAGGAGGGGAGAAAACGAGGACAACACCAAATACTGCCAATCCTGGTCACCGTCCATCTTGGTCATTGGTCACCGTCCATTCGCGACGGCAGGCATGGACCTGGACCAAGATGGGCGTCGACAAGATCCCTGCGATACCTGTGGTCAGCGTGTTTCTTCCCTCGAAAGAGGGAGGGAAGGGAAGTGAGGGCAAGGGGAGGGAAGGTTCCCCTCCTGCAGCCGGTCCGCCTGTGAATGTGCAGAATGAGGCCAGGCCAGGGCTAGGTCGGGCGTGTCCCTCTACCGGCGGAGTTTGACCGAAAAATGAAAAAAATAGTCGGAAATACCCCAACAAATGATGAACACATCGTCCCCAGACTATGTTTCTTTTACTATCTCTGAGTATTCCTCCTGTAGAGGGACACGCCCGACGTAAGGCCACGGACAGCCAGCGGCCCAGGCAGCACACGACCGACGGGCGGCGTCGAACACGCCCAGGGGACAGCTCCCCCGGCCCCCCCCCCCCTCCCCGAGGGCCCCCGGGGAGACGGGCCCGGCCGGCCGCGGCGCCGGGAGGGGAAGACGGGGATCGGGCCGGGCGAAAGGGGGGAATAGCAAAGGGGGGGGGTTTGAGAAGAACCAGCTCACGTATAGCTGATTTTCCCGGCCAGCGCCTCCCGGCGCCGGTGGCGGCCATGCATCGAGGAATGGGCCCCTCGGTGGGGCTGAAACCAGCTGCATGCAGCAGATTTCGTACCCCTCGCTTTCCCTATCCCCCCCTTTCGTTCGGCCCCAGAGGAACAGCAGGAGTCGGGCGAGGACGAGGCCGACCTCCTCCTGGTCCTCCGCGCGCGCGGGAGAAGAAGAGGGGGGGGAGTGCGCGCGTGGGAGCGCGCGGGGATACGATTAGGTCGGGCATGTCCCCCTACAGGCGAAACATCAAAAATACCCCAAAAATATCCCCCAAATGAGCAAACATAGTACAAAAATCGTCCCCATACGATTTTCTGGACTATTTTTGGATATTCCTCCTGCAGAGGGACAGGCCCGATTTAACGATGAGCACAAGTCGCCACCTCCCGAGCGCGCATGCTTAAGACGAACGTCGAGATCCTGGCGCCGCAATTCTTCCGAGCCAGGCGTTTTCAAGCAAAATTCCGAACCCTGGGGCCCTCACAGATCGATCCGGCTAGAAAAATGGCGCAGAAAGATGGGGTCCGGGGCTCTGGTCGTGATTTTTCGCGATGCTGCTGGAGGGACAGGCTCGACTTAACATTCAGTCGGGCCTGTCCCCCTACAGGGTGATTTTCGATTGAAAATAAAAAATACCCCCAAAATAGTCTAAACATAGTCCAAAAATAGTCTGGGGACTATTTTTAACATATTTTTTGACCATTTTGGGGCATTTTGGGGGTGTTTTTTTTATTTTTCGCCGAAAACCCCTCTGTAGGGGGACAGGCCCGACCTAATGCTAGAGGGACAGGCCCGACCTAATGCCCCCTCGCTCGCCGCTGATCTCTTTGTCCGCCTCCGCGTCCTCCCTGGGCCCTATGGGCCTGGAGGTCCCCTCTGGCGCACCCGCGCCACGACAAGCTCAAGTCGGGCACGTCCCCCTACAGGCGAATCCTGGACGAAAAATCCCAAATACGCAAGAAATGCTAGAAACAAACATTAAAAATATTAAGAACAAACCGTCGTCCTCCTCCTCCTCCGCCTCCTCCGCCACGTCTTCATTTACCTCCGACGTTTTATCACGCATCCCGTCACCCTCAGGGCCGAGGTAACCAGGGTCGGCGGCACTGGCCGTAAGGCCTTAGCAATATCAAGAAGAACTCGTCCCCAGACTATTTTTAACTATTTGCAAATATTCCTCCTGTAGAGGGACAGGCCGCCACCTCCCGAGCGCGCATGATCAAGACGACCACTGAGACCCTGGCGTCGCAATTCTTCCGAGCCGGGCGTTTTCGAATCTTCTCGAACGCTGGGGCCCTCACATATCGATCCAGCTAGAAAAATGGCGCAGGCAAATGGGGTCCAGGGCTCTGGTCGTGAATTTCGCGATGCTGAATTTTTCCAAACGTCAGATCTCAGGGAAAGCAGAATCGAAACAATTCGGACCCATATAAACTGGAAATCCCTGAGAATCGGCGGGTTTCACCTGAGGGCTCCCTCTGCGTGCTATGGGGCTGAGGTTGAGGGCTGGAGCGGGGGGGAGGGAAAGAGGAGAGGATGCAAAAATTGAGGCGAATTGCGACAAAGGCGACCCCTTTTTCCGGGACCGGCTTTTCGCTCCGTGCCGTTTCTTGACAGCCCAGTGAGCGTCACCGGAAGCCGAAAGTGGCTCAAGACCTCCTGCTGAGATTTTTCGAATCGAGAGGGAGAACTGGGGGGACGAGGAGGATAGGACAAGAGGACAAGAAGGGAGAGGGAGGAGGGGGAGGAGGCGACCTGGGGGCTGCAGCAGCGCAGGAGCAGCCCTGACCCCACCGCCCCCGCCTCCTGACTGAGCCTCCCTCTCCTCCACCCTCGGGCGGCCCACCCGGCCTCTCAACATCGGTAGTTGAGCAAGGACCAACCGTCCCGGCAGTCCTATAGGCCGACCACGACATGCTCTTAGAACTCAAAAAATATTCGAATCGAAAAAACGATGCTCTTATAACATAAGCCCGATGCGCTAAAACAAAACAGTCTCAGCCAGGAATGTTCTAAGAACATCCCGTGCAGACCACTCTCAAGACATTATCTGGTAGGCCCATAGGCGAGCTAAGACGCTGCGCCACTGCCTGAGGTGGGGGGGGAACATCAGTAGGGGGAAAACAAACCTACCTCGTTTTTGACCACCCTCGCTTCTAAGAGATACCAAACGATGCCAAACTACGGCCTGTACTGGTCAGGCTGCTTGACGAGGAGGCGCGTGGTATGACTTGGTTTTGCCTGGAAGCGAAAGCGGGGTAGGTAATTCACGCTCTGAATCGGGGGGGGGGGACCCGCTGCGGGGGGGAAACGTCGACTTGCAATCGGCGATGCACCGCCGATCGATCCGCGAGAGCCCCCCGATGGCGAGACCAGGAGGCTCCTGGGCGAGGTGGGCTGTCGGGCCCCCGTCGGCGAGGACTGGGCGACCGGGCATCGGTGCAGCTCCCGAGCCTCTCTTTCCCCTGGATGACTCTCCCCTGCAGTGGTGGGCTTTTGCGCGGGACGGCGGCGGCAGCGCTCCTCCGGTGCCGGCGAGGGCGAAACAGTTGGGGGGACGGGCAACATGGAGCGCGTTTCAGCGAATCGGCTGACTGGGAGTCCTGCAGGTGAGCCCCCCCACCTGCTCTCCTTGCGCAAGAATCTCGACGGACGGCTTTCTGCAAGTGTGGGCCTCCTGGGGCCCTCACTGGGCCCCTGGACCATCCAGAAGCCAGCTCGGGATGAAATCCCGTGGAAGGTGTCTAGACCTCCGGGGGTCGACGTTGTGAGAAGGTCACGACGTGAGAAATCTGGGGCAGCCCGAGGAGGGCGCTCGGGGCCGGAGGGAGTCCGTTTGGGCTGGCTGCTGGACGATCCCGTCTAGTTCTGGAAGCTGCGGCATGGCCTCGACTGATCGCGCGCACTCCGCACTGGTGGGCTTCTTTTCCACCACCGCCACCACAATTAGGAGGGGGAGGGGGTCCTTCTCCTCCTCCTCCTCCTCCTCCTCCTCCTCAACCTCCTTCCCCCCTCAAACTGATGGTGGTGGTGGTGGACAACAAGCCCATGACGCACACCGTGCGGGCGTATGAAGACCTGGGGGAGAAGAGCAGGCGGGCAGAAAAAACGCCTCGGACCGCTCGTGCTATCCAGGGACGTGCGGGGGGAAACGGTAAACGGGGGGGACTGGCACAGGGGGGAGGGGGAGCATCGAGCTGGCATCGGCAATGCATCGTCGGTCGATCCGCGAGAGGGTCCCGAAAGCGAGCCCACGCGCTGCTAGGCGGGGCGGGCGATCGGGCCCTCATCGGCGATCAACGGGCGATTGGGGGTTGATGCATCCCCGCCCCCTGAGCCCATCCCAGGGTGGCTCGCGCGTCACAACTCAGCTCCCTGGCGGCCGTTCGGGACGATCTGGGCACCTCCCAGCCACCCTCGGCGACTCGCAGCCACTGGAAAGTGTGCCGAGGCTGGAAAGCCGCCGAGAGACGATGCAAGCGCCCGAAAACCTCTGACCTCGAGACCTCGAGACGTTCCCCCCTGAGCCTGCCCCCCCCCCCCGAATGCTGCCCTTGAGAGCCCCCGCGGGCCACCCCTGGACAGGAGAGCCCCGAATCGGATCGGTAAGACGGATCGGCGATCGAAATGAGTCGGATCGGGGGAAACCGGCAGCCAAGTCGGGAGAAGTCAAATCGGCGAGACTCGGCATGCTAGTAGGCCACCGCTGTGGAATTGGAGCCCAAATCGGAATCCGAAATCGAATCGAATCGCAACTGGAAGCAAACGGAGTCGAAGTCCGAATCGGAGGAGTCGAATCGGCGAGACTCGGCATGCTAGTAGGCCTCCACTGTGAAATTGGAGCCCAGATCGGAATGCGAAGTCGAATCGAATCGGAACCGAAAGCCAACGGAGTCGAAGCCGAAGCGAGTCGGATCGGAGTCGAAGTGAGCCCTGCTGGGCCTCCAGCCTGCTGGCGGAATTCGGCCCCCAAGCGGGGAGAAGGAAACGCACCACCAGCACCCCCTCGAGGACGGAGGCAGAGGGTGGTCAAGGGCGGTGGTGGTGTCTATGGCTGCGGGCGCTCTCGCGCAGGGCTGAACCTAAACGGTGTTTTCCGTTATCGTTTTGTTGACGTTTTCCCTCGCTTTGCCTTCAATCTGCCTCTACCGCGCAACGAAGTCGAAACGAAAACGGCCCACGAAATCGCCACAACACCGTTTAGGTCCAGCCCTGCTCTCGCGGGACATCGTGCACACCCGCATCCTGCATGCCAGCTCGTCCTAACCCCCCCCACGTGGTGGGGGTGGGGGTGGGGGTGGGGGTGGGGGTGGTGGTGTTGTTGGTGGTGGTGGTGGTGGATTTCTAAGAACAAAAACAATGTCTTAGAACATAAACCCGATGTGATAAAACAAGACAGACTCCGCCAGAAATGTTCTAAATACATTTCGTGGAAACCACTAAATGTTCTTAGAGCATTATTTGGTAGGGCAATAAGCGAGCCAGGGCGCTTCGCCGCTGCTTGAACATCAGCGCACCCTCCCCAGAACCGCCCTCGATCTTGCGCTTCGGTCTGGCTGCACGCGACGCCCAGCCGGCCCTGCCACGCCGGAGGCCCGCTCGCGCGCGAGCCGCCCGCTCACTTCTTGCCGCCGGCCTTCGACTTCTCCTCGGCGCGCCGGGGCGCGCTCCCCAGAGAGCCGAGGTCGTGGCTTGCTCCACGCGCGGTCCCCCGACACCTCGACCCGTTCCCCAGGACCGGTCGTTTCTGTCCTGGGTCGTTCCTTGAGAGGCCCGAGGCTGGGCGAGGGCCCCTAGAGGCCGAACTTTGTGAAAAACCTCCGTCTTGATTTTGTTCAATGCGTTGGATCTCTGGATCCGGCTCGCAACTCGCGGGCGGGGGGGACGAGGAGATCTCCGGGTGGGCCACGGAAAGAAGCGGCCCTCGCGCGAGACGGCTCAGCGACCCTGCGCCGCGGCTTACAGCCGGACCCGGGGCAGAAGAGCACCCTTCAAGAACGCGGGACCCTTCGCCAGCAAAAACACACAGAACATCACAGGGTGCCCCTCCCCAGGATGCACAAGAACATCAGGGCACCCTCCCCGAACCGATCTCGCTCTTATACCTCGGTCTGGCTGTGCGCGCGCCGCCCGCGCGGCCCGCTACATTGGAACTGAGGGCGCTGACGCCGACTTCAATCCCGCGAGCACTTTGGGCTGAGGTGGTCTAACAATTCATTGCATTCCTCTTCCAAAACACTCTTCCTTTCGGGGAGGTTGACCTCCCCCCCCTCCCTGGGTCTGGACGGAGGGGGCCAGAGGGGTTAGAGCGCCCCAGATGACTTCAAGAGGGCCTCCGATGCTTCAGGATGGCCTCCAAGGCGGCTCAAGATAGCCGAAGACCGAAGATGGTTCAAGATAGCTTCCGACATACCTCCAAGAGGCCCGATGAGGACCACAAGACGGTTCCAAGTGCTCTCGGAGCCCCTTCAAGACCCCCCAATAGCCACAAACCCTTCAAAACCTTCAGGAACAACAGTGATTGTTGCCTTCCTGCCTTTTCGCTTCCGAGGCAGTTTTCAGGCCTCAAGGTGGCCCCAAGACGGCCTAAGAGATGCCCAAGAGGGGCCCAAGAAGGCCCCACAAACGGCCCCAAGAGCGCCCAAGATCGCCCAAGATCGCCCATATTGGCCACAGGGGGGGAGGGAAATTGGGGACCCCCGCTTTTGCCCGATGGCCTTCAAGAGGGCTCCCAGAGGGCCCCAAGCCAAGACCTCACCAGAGAGCCCCGAGAGGACCCCAGGATCCCCGAAGCACTGTGCCTCCATGTGGCCGTATGTAAACAGTGCTCGTCGTCCTCGTCCTCGTCCTCGTCCTCGCCCCTGCCCTGATCGTATTATTCCTTGTACTGTTCTTCCTCTTCCTCGTCGTCGCTGTCGTCGCTGTTGTCGTCGTCGTCGTCCTCCTCCTCCTCCTCCTCCTACTCCTCCTCCTCTCCTCTCCCCCAGGCGAGCCCCAGGGATGGTCCGAAGAGACCATCCAAAGTCACCCTTAGTCCCGAACATCTCTCTGTTCACCCTGGTTGCCCGCTCTGTTTCACTACACGTGTCTCTTCGTGCCTCTGCCCGTCAACTCTAATGGTAGGTCGGGCATGTCCCCCCTGCAGGCGGATGCTGGACAAACACAAAAATATGTCCCACAACTATTCTGAAATAGCCAAACCTAACATAAGACATCGTCCCCGGACTATGTTTTGCTGACTGTGTTTGAATACTCTCGGGGATGGACAGACCCCCCTTTAGCAAAACGTGGTTTAGTGAAATCGACCTGAGGCCCAAACCTGGCGGGCGCAAGCCTGGAAAATGACGGCCACGGCGCCCTCTCGAGAACCGAAAACGGACAATTCACTAATCGACGTGTCACTGTTGGGGGTTCTGTCCAGCCCCGATACTCCTCGTAGAGAGACAGGCCCGACTCAACTCAAATGGGCAGGGTTTTTGCATGGGCTGGTGGAGATCCGGCGAAGCGTGACGAATGTTACGTGGGAGCCTTCCGCGCGACATGGTCCGCGGCATCGAGCCCGTGTGTATTTCTGCGTCGCTCGAATGGGGAGGGGAGGATGACGGGGTGAAGGAGGGCAAGGGGCGGGCCGAGAGAGAGAGAGAGAGTGAGAAAAAAAATGATAATCCCAATACTGAAAACTGTATTAAGAAGAACAACACTAATAATAATATTAATAATAATAGTAATAATAATAATGATAATAATAATAGTATTACTAATAATAGAAAGAATAATAATAATAATGATACTGACAATAAAGAATAATAATAATGATAATGACAATAATAATAAGAATAATAATACGACTAATAATAATAAGAAGACAAATAATGCTAATAATAATATAGAGAGAGAACCGACAAAAAGGCACAACCGAAATTACCACCTCCTCTCGTGGACAAAAAAACACATCGAACGGATTTTGCATAATCTCGACCTCGGGGGGGGGGGCCTTACCCGCCAACGGCACCGTCAACAAGACGATTCTGGATGAAAACCTTGTCCTGGGGAGAGTCCAAATCTCTGGGGGCCCGCGTTGTGAAACAATCACGACGTCGGAATTCTGACTAGGTCCTGGGCGGAACCGCAACATCTATCGAAAACCGCCGTGGGGAGACCGTCAGCGTTTTAGGTACACGTCCCAGAACCCCGACGCCGCGACTTGTCTAACACAAGGTGGACCCCTAAGAAAATCCTGACCCCTGCCCGGGGACCTATCTTTCATCCCGAGCCGTCTTTGTCGTTCAGTGCCGGGGCCCAGCGAGGCCCCAGGGGTCGAACATGGCCAAAAACCTCCCGTCGTGCTTTCTGTTTACAACGGAAGGAGGTGGGGAGGGGGGTTGGCGGCGCGCACAGGGGGTGGAGGGAGGGGGGAGGACTTCTTAGAAGGAAGCTGCTTCTCAGAAGGCACCTGCCTTACATCTATAGATAAGGCCCGCGCCTTCAGAGAAGCAGGGGTGCTTCCAAGAAGCCCTCCCCCCCTCCTTCCACCCCTCTCTGCGCGTGGCGGAGGTGGGGGGAGCGGTGAAAGCGTTCAAGGGGGGAAGGAGGGATCGGCCCTGCGCCCGCGTTGGCGGGCAGAAGACCAATCTCAGAAGACTGGAAGGCTCCCGAGGAGGCCGGAGAAGACCCTTTCGGACGCCTGGTGGCTCTGGGGTCATAACGGCTGCCGATCTGGACGATCTGGCGGCCGATCTGGACGATCTGGACGATCCGGGCAGCCCCGGAACGCCCTCGGGGAGGCGCAGCTGCTGGAAATCATCCCGAGGCTGGAAAACATATTTGAACCAGGACATTGCCCGGCACAGACCACCCGAGCAGGTCGCGCGCGCGAAGCGCGCGGCCCACACCCGAGGAGGCTGCCCAAAGTGCCTGCAAGAATCTACACGCAGTCGGCCCATGCAGCCTTAGGCCGGAGCCTGGGAACAGCACCGGCTCACGTGGCCTTAGGTCGGGCATGTCCCCCTACAGGCGGATTCTGGGCGAAGCATGAAAAAGATATCCCCCCCAAAAAAACAAAAATCGGGAAACAAATGCAAAAAAACATCGTCGCCCGACGATTCTCTTACTATTTTGGGATCTGCCCCCTCTGGAGAGACACGCCCGACTGAAACGCAGCCCGGAGCCGCCACCGTTCCACGACGGGGCTCTCTGCGCAGCCAGCCAGCCAGAGAACTCGGGCGCCGGCGCCCCACCCACTTCTGCCCGCCGGCCCCCGCGAAGCATGGGTTTATCGGGGGCGCGCAGACGTGGACTAGCGTGAGGTCGGGCATGCCCCCCTACAGGCGGGTTTTGGATGAGAAATGAAAAATACCCCAAACACATACCCCCAAATACCCAGCAAAAATGATGTTGCAAAATCGTCCCAGAACTATGTTTGGACAATCTTTGAATACTCCTCCTGCAGAGGGACAGGACCGACTCATGATTAGCGATCCATGGATTTGGCGCGAACTCGCCAACTCCATGGATCGGGGAGGCGCCCTCCCCAAAATGCGGCCGGTGAATGTCACTCTGGCGAAGGGTCACTCTTTCGTGTAATCGATAAACCATTTCCCCTGGACCGGTGTCCATCCCGGTCCGGCCCCAGGGCCTGGCGAGGGCCCCCAAAGGCAAAACAAAGGATTGCAAAAAAACCCGGGATTGCAAAAAAACCCGAAGGATTGCAATCCTGGGTTTTTTTTTGCAATCCTGGGTTTTTTTGCAATCCTTCGGGCAAACCACTCCTGTCGTGATTGATTGTTCAGCGACGAGGGGGTGCAGAGGAAACTGTCCTGGCGGGGCGACGAGGCCTTCCTGAGGTTTGGAAACGGCTAGGTGTTTTTGTTTGACTAAGTTCCAACATTCTGGCTCTCGGTGATGAAAACACTCGAAATCGGAACCAGAAAACACTCCTGGATCATCATGCTTCTCCTCATCCCTCCTCATCCTCCTCCACCTCCTCGATTCTCCTTCTGCTGCTCATCGATCCTCCCCATTCTCCTCACACTCGTGCTCTTCATCCTCGACCATCCACCTCCTCCACCTCCTCCTCGATCTTCCTCCTCCTCCTCCTCCTCCTCCTCGATCTTCCTCCTCCTCCTCCTCCTCATCCTCATCCTCGGTCCTCCTCCTCCTCCTAGATCCCCCGATCCACCACCAAACCCCAAGGGCGGACGGCGCCTTGCCGCGCACCTTCTTGCGCCTGTTCTTGGTGTCCTTCGCGGCACGCCTGCCCGGGCCGCTCTTCTCCTTCCCGATGCCCGCGCGCTTCAGGCGGTACCTTGCGCAGGGGGGCGGCAGAGGCGGGGGTGATGGTGACGATGATGATGGGGGTGATGATGAAGATGAAGATGAAGATGACGATGAAGATGCAGATGCAGATGCAGATGCAGATGCTGATGCTGCTGATGATGATGCTGATGATGCTGATGCTGATGCTGATGATGGTGGTGGTGATGGATTGAGCAAGGTGTTGACGATGATGACGATGACGGCGATGATGATGAATAATAAAATGATGATGACGATGCTGATGATGAGGAATGGTGTGAAAGTGACGACTATGCTGAAGCGGGTGATGATGATGCTGATGATGATGGCAATGACGATGATGACGACGATGATGGTGATGGTAATGATGATGATAATGACAATGGTGGTGGTGATGGTGATCATGATGCCGATGGTGATAAAGATGATGAAGGTAATGATGATGCTGATACCGATGATGACGATGATGATGGTGATACTGATAACTCTCAACATAGCCATGATGATGGTGACGGTGATGATGGAGATGATGATGGTTCTGATGATGTTGATGACGATGATAAAGGAAGATGCTGACGATGACGAAGGTGATGAGAACGATGATGACGATGATGGCGATGCAGATGCTGAGGATGATGATGGTGATGATGATGGTGAGGATGAAGGTGATGATGACGATGATGATGATGAGGATGATGATGATGATGATGGCAATCAAGATGATGGTGATGCAGAAGATGATGATGGTGGTGATGGTAGTGGTGACGATAAGGATGTTGAGAATGTTGATGTTGATGATGATGATGATGATGATGATGATGATGATGATGATGATGACGCTGCTTCTGATGCTGATGCTGATGAGGGTGATGCTGATGGTGAGGATATCAGGCTCCACGGGAGGACAAGTCTCAGGTTCAACTGATGGCACCCCTCTGATGGCACGCCTGCGCTTGGCTGCAGCGAGTGCTCGTGCCTCTCTATCCTTCGCGGGACGGGGGGCACGGCACTCCTGGCGGCGACTGATATAACAGTTCCCCCCGCCCTCGGTATGATGTTTCGCGTAGTTTCGCTGCCTTATACTTCCCGCGCGATGAGGGGACCCGTGCCTCAGGCGATCTTGCAACGCTCCTGCCAGAGTGGACGCTCTGATGGAAGACGGTGGGGTCTCTGACATTCGGCAAGAGCGCGGGATGGATGCATGGATGGACCACGATCTCCTCTCGATGTGACACGACGGACGGCTTCGGGCCACTTTCGAACTCCGGGAGCCCTCGCTGGGCCCCAGAGGACTAATTATCAAGAAACAGCTCGGCGGGAGGAGAACTGCAGAGGAAGAACAAAAACACATAAGCATAAGCTTTCAGAGGGCCGCGCGGATTTCTTGGATTTGCGCTGGGCCCCCCTCCCTGGCGCGCGGAGCGCGCCAAGGGCGGCGCCGGAGGCGCCGCCATGGAGCCCAGCGCGGGTCCAAGGAACTCCGTGCGGAGCGCCGAACATTTATGTTGTTTTTTTGTTCTTCGAAACTGGTCCCATGGCAAGACGCTGTACCTCGGCGGGTCGACGCTGAGAACAGCATCGCGATGTCAGAGATCCGGGAACCGCGGGGGGCTGATCGGGTCGGGCGAAAGGGAGAGATAGCAAAGGGGGGGTTTGAGAATCAGCTCACGTAGCTGATTTTCCCGGCGCCTCCCGGCGCCAGAGGCGGCTATGTATCGAGGAATGGGCTCCTCGGTGAGGCCAAAATCAGCTGCATGCAGCAAATTTCGTAACCCCCCCTTTCCCAATCCCCCCCTTTCGCCCGACCCGAGCTGAGCGTGCCTCAGCACATCGGGCTTCGTGGGCACAAGCAACCGCCGGCCTGCTCATGGAGTGCCCCACGCGGAGGGGGGCGGCCCGCGACGGGTCTTGATGGGGGCGTTCGGTAGCAGTTCATGGGAACCTTGTCTTCGCATTACCGTGCGCCGGCGTCTGGTAATCGTCGGCTCACGTCGATTTAGCGTCGATCAGCGATCGACTATCGAGCCTGGCGTCGATTAGCGGTCCATTTAGCGTAGAGAAGCGTCTGGTTTGAGGGACTTTCTGTGGAATTCACGTCATCCTCACCCCCGGCGCGAAGAGCACGAGCCCAGAGCGGCCTCCGGCACCGTTTCCGGACGGATCCGGTGGATCCGCTGGATCCGCTGGATCCGGTGACGAATCCCAAACCGGCGCCCTCGCCTGAGACATCCTCACAAAACGGGCCCCGGGGGGGATGCCCAGAGGAGCCCAGAGCGGCCTCCGGCACCGTTTCCGGACGGATCCGCTGGATCCGCTGGATCCGGTGACGAATCCCAAACCGGCGCCCTCGCCTGAGACATCCTCGCAAAACGGGCCCCGGGGGGGATGCCCAGAGGAGCCCAGAGCGGCCTCCGGCACCGTTTCCGGACGGATCCGCTGGATCCGCCCCAGAGGATGGATCGATCTCATTATGAGATCGCGTTTTTTACGATCTCATTTTGCGATCGCAACAGTGGTTGCTTTGGTGTACTTTTTTGATATGTTGGCAGATGCGGTGCGTTTTTGTGTTTTTTGATGTGTTTGCACATATTGTTGCTTACGCGCGAACCCAAACTCCTTCCTCCTTCCTTATCCTTCGTCCTCTAGCCTTTGCCTCTTCCTTATCCTCTCCCTCCGTCTCTCCCCCTTCATTCTATCATTCATCCTCTCCCGCCGTCCCTCTATGCCCCTTTCCCTCGTCATGTCCATATTGCTTTCCTTGGTGTTCCTCCTCTTCCGTCGTTCCTCCATTCCTCTTTCCGTCTCCTGCTCCACATCCGTCATATCAGTTTGCATTTCTATCATTTATAAACCCGTCCCTTCGTCAGTCACCCGCATCCTTCGTGTTTCGTTTCCCCCTCCATATTCCCATCCGTCTTATTTCGTGACTACTTAAAATAAAGAGCAGCGTGCGACAAAACCAGACACAGCACATTCTATTACGACGTGTTCCAAATGAAGCATGCACGCTGCCATACCCCACCGCCGACCCCCTATCAATCAACATACATATTGGATTCGGCGAGGGTAAGCATCAACGGAATAAGAACGAGCACGATGCATCACACATGTGTGACGAATCCATGGGGCCCCGAACAAACCCGCGGGTTCGAGATGGGGCGATCGTTGATTGACCAGGCTTGCTCTGACATCCTCCCGCGCTTATTTCGCCGCCGCCATTATTGCCAATCCTCATCCGAATCGTAGTCGGGGTCACAGCCCCGCTCGTGCTGCCACATGTCTTCTACACGGAGCATGCAAGGATGGCACGTGTAACCGATGAGGTCACACATCTGACAGAAACCCCAGGCGGCAGGGCGACGCTTACGTTTCCGTGAGGGTGGCGTAATCCCCCATGGCAAATGGGTGGGTTGTGGCGTTTCGCTTTAGACGATCCTCACAATGTCCGCTTGATTACCATGTCACCCGACATTGCCTTGCAAGAGTAGGCCTCCCATATTGCAGCACCTAGCTTTCCTTTCAATCCGTGAAAGGTATTCGGCCATCTCATTATCATCGCGGATCGTCTTCAGTTGCTTGAGCTTCGCCTTGCGCATCGCAATGTGGGGTGGCCTCCAGCTCGAACTGCTGGAGCGGAATTTGCACGTTTCGTACGAGGTGCGCGAGGAGGGAGAGAGATAAAGAGAGAGAGAGAGAGAGAGAGAGAGAGAGAGAGAGAACGAGAGAGGGAGAGGGAGAGGGAGAGAGGGGATAGGAAGAGAGAGAGAGAGAGAGAGAGAGAGAGAGAGAGAGGGAGAGAGGGGGAGACGGCGAGAGGAGCGAAGCACCAAACAAGAGAAAGAGAGAGAGAGAGAGAGAGAGAGAGATCATGTGCATTCGTAGCAAATTGATTGATACAGCGATGCGCCCGTGGCACGGACGGGATGGACCATCATCTGATCGGGGGGGTGGGGTGAACGAGAGTTTTCGAGTTCTGTCTGTGGGCGATCTCCCGAGCGTGAGTGCTAGGGGTCAGAGTAAAGGTGTTCAAGCGAAAAATCGGGTTGCGAGCCATGTCCGTAACATCGTTGATGCCCATCCTGTTCTTCTGATGTTTCCTCTTCGCTCATCCACGGCACTGCCCCCATCCCGCATGTCACCATTCATATTACATTGCGTCTCCCGTGGCAAAAACAAAAACAAACAGCAGCCGTTTGTCCATATGGTTGCCATCGTAAATAGTGAATTCGATGATGTCGGATGGCCTGGGCTGGGGGGTAAGGATGTGGCGACAGCGGCCCAGGGAACCGGGGCCAGGGCCCGTGTGGGGGGGGGGTGCGCACATCCAGGAACAAAACTCAGGCAAAACTCAGGCAAAACTCAGGCAAAACTCAGGCAAAACTCAGGCAAAACTCAAGCAAAACTCAGGCAAAACTACAGTGTCGCCCCAAAGATGCCACATCAAAACTCCAACGGGCCGTCGATGTCGGCCTTACAATCAAACACTGCTCGGAAACCCGAGCAACCTCCAGACTTGCTCCAGCAAGCCTTAGCGCCGTGAAGCTGTGCTGAAGTCTGCTCGAGGTTTGCTCGACGAAATGTTTGAGTTCGGGTGTGTCGTTCTCATCCCATACCCCCAATCATTTCACAGCTGAGCGCGGCCCCTTCGCCCAGGCAACGTCAACCGCACTTTCACCTTCAGGAGGAGGATGCGGGGGAGGAGAATGAGAAGAGGGAGGGGGATAATGGAAGAGGAGGGGGAGGAGGAGGAGAATAGAAACGATGGCTGATTACCTTCAATGGTAATACACAACCCTCGTTGTCGGACTCGGCGTCGATAATGGTCTCGGAGTCGCACTCTGGGAGGTTCCCCGAGAATGCATTTGCCAGCCTGGCTATTTTGCAGAAATGGGGATCTCGGCATTGTCACGTTTTGGCTTTCAGTCTCATCCTCCTCCTCCTCCTCCTCCTCCTCCTCCTCTGTCTATACCTCCTCTCAAGCTCTTTTTTTTCCATCCCTCTCAGCACCCT